TAATAATAATAATAATAATAATGTTACGTATTAAGCAAAAAACTACCCAAGAAATCCGTTAGTAGACAATAATAAATCTCCTCTAAGCTAATTCGCTGTTACAATTACATATTAGAAATATTAATATTTCATATAACCCTGTGCATTATATAATTTGTTATTTTAATGGAGAGCGTTTAAATATCGTACTTTAAGTTAGAAACTAATAGTGCGCGACTCTCATATAGAATTTCAATAATGTTCACTACATATATTTGTCTTAATTAAGGCTGTTGTTTCCTTTATAATCCAATCAGATGATTGGGAGAAGAGCTTGAAATATTGTAAAATATAAGACGAGGAATCAATGTTAGGGCTAAGGCACTAAAACACATCTTTGAACTGAGGACTTGCTACTTTGGCACGCAATTGCAACTCAAATAAACAAATAAAGCCGAAACTAGTTCAAGTACTTCGCCCAATCGCAAAATAAACATAAATAACAACACTATACACAGCGCCCTGGAAAACTTAGGCATGCTTTCGGATTAACTAGCAGGGTGCGAAAAGAACACAAATTACCATTTAAAAAACCCCTATAGACTCCCCAAGAGTGGATGCTAAAAATGTCGGGGCGTAAAAATCCCTGTGCGCAGTTCTGTTTTTTTTTTAATTTTTATTATACAATTCAGTTTTCTGGAGAACAATTGAGAGAATTAAAATATTGATATTTGATATCAATTCGGCGTTTGGGCACAATTTTTGCTGAAAACAAATACCATCTCGATGGGTAATTTTTACAAAAAAGACACAAACACAACTTTTTTGGAAAAAAAACCACACACACACCAATGGGCTCATTTTATTCCGATTTTGTGTCAAAACGCGAAATAGACAATCTCAAGTTGCCTGCGAGCGACTTGCAAAAATGTTGTTCTCAACGTTCCTTCCCAGCATTTATTTCTTGAATTTCTCCAACTAGAGGCGCATTCAACACAGTGTCACAATTTACTCCAAGTTTAAAATGAAAAATCTGTCTTTTTAAAGCAGAAATTAAAAAAAAAACATACAACAGTGTTTCTTTTAATTGTTTAGACCTTTCTGGGGCAAGTAAGTAACCGGTTAATTTACCGGAAAATCATTTGCAACTTTTTTGCAACATTCAGCGTTTAGGGACGAATTTAGCATTTAATTTAATTATTTAAAAACAGTTATCTAGCATCGATATTAAAAATCAGTTTCAAAAACGCAATTTTAAGGGGCCTCACGAACTTTAAAACTAATTTAGTAAAAAGCCAATTTAAGGAAGGTCTGCAATAATTTTTTCGACGGAAACTTTTGTTATATCCGAAAGCATGACCACATCGTTCGGGACATGATGCACATGCAAAGTAACGAGCTTTGTTAAATTTCCATCACAGAAAAAAGACCTTTGAATCAACAACCGATAAAAGGTACATTATACTTATATACATGCTGATATTTATTTATATATGATAGTTTATCAAATGATGGCTCAGTTTATTGGCTTTGAGGGACAGTAAAGAGCGTCATTGGTTAATGGACTGTGACTGGAAGGCAGCTATTTACCGGCCCCTAAAGCCTAAAGTGGTGGTAAAGAAGAAATCCCGACAAAAAGGAACTGTAAAACGAGAGCTACAACTAGGACAATGTTTCCCACTAGAGTGCAAATATTACGAACATTTATAAATAGTTTCAAACACCACAGCAAAAGTTACGTTTCTTCTAACGTTACATTTGAGAGATACCTTAGGAGCTTGTGGGACGCGTCGAAAATGGCTTTGAAGAATTGCGTTTGGTCCATTGGGAAATAAACTGAGGAGCGGGTTCGGCTTTCGGCTTGAAGTCTAATTGATTTTGTGGCTTAAATGCCACTTCCGAGCGCGCGCTATCGTTACAGCAGTGAAAAATCTGATAAATAGTTTGTTTTAATATTAATATACCCCAAAAACCTAGTCTAGAAAATCCAAAAATATTTAGTTATTTTACACATCTAGTATATCTAACATCTATAATGTTGTAAAGGTACAAGTACCGAGTAATGATTCTTGGCCCGGTCGAATTTGGAAGAGTTTCCACGCCGCTCAACGAACTAACTAATTGCCTAATCTCAATTTGTTGTGTGCTACACATGGACATTGGACAGTCTTATAATTTGTTTATGTAAAAATCAACACCCACCCTTATCGGTAAGCAACCGTTACTATCTACCGTTAAAGGTTCGGCAAAAACTCTTCAAACTCCCACCACCGCATTGGAGGCTTCAAATATGTACATTTAAAAACGATCTAGTAATTATTAAATATCACAACTATATTATATCGTGTTACTCTATTGACGTAAGAAACTCCCTGCTGAATAACATTTAAGACATCTAAGTGCGAACGTTTGCTTACTAACAATAGTACAACGCGCGCCAAAATGTTTGCCAAGCATTTTGGCTCACTAAAACACTTTGAACGTCGAAAACAATAGAGTACAGACAATTATAGATTATTCTGAAACAGGCACATCAAATTGTATCTTACTAAACGCCACAGTAAAAATCCTAGTCATTAATCTACGTTAATTTCTTGATATTACATACAAAAATCAATATTCCTACTGGGCGACCTCCAGCTGCACATTTTGCAGCAAATAAATTCAATTCTCGGCCGATTTTATTCATTTTGTGCACCCCGAACTCGCCCTAGTCATTTAGTGAGGAAAACACAGCTGACTTCTTAATCTACTTAAGCAAATGATTAATCAAATTGACCCAAACTTTTGGTACATAGATAATACACCACATGTAAAACTATCAATTAAATGTCAACAATATCCCTTAGATCCCCAAACAGTTTACTCTAGAATTACACAATTATTAAATGGGTGAAAAGGGTTGAAATTGAAAATTAAAATAAAATTCTAACATCTACAGAGAAAGTAAAACCCAAAGGGCCTGTGCTTAAACAGTTGCCAGTACAGAAAACGTGCAAATTTAAGCACAAACCCTCTCACATGTAAATAACCATGAAATCGACCCAGGCGACATCGAAAATCCTAATTAATTAAAACGTTTTTAACACTTGAATTAAACAGGAGCGAAAGTTTGGCTTTGATATACAAAACCAAAGTAGAACCAAGGCTCTCAAAACTAGAATAATAATTTGAGATGAAGGGCAGTAAAAGCGAAAACTATCAAGCGTTGAAGGATTATGTACAATCGACCCTTGCTTGTTACCTTCGTATTAAAACAGTAATTATCACATCTTAACCGAAAATTTAAAACTAATGAAATCTCCATAATTCCTATCAACTACTATCACTAATTGGGTATAGTGGAAAGCAAATACCGAACAGAAAGAACACGAGAAACGCTTCGTAATTTGCACTGTCCAAAACAGTTAATTAGGCACTCAATTAATCAAACAAAACAATGCAGATTCCTTACATTTGCAAGGTTTTTCGTAATTTCAAGTGAGAGTACTGCTCTTTCCAACACCAAAAATCAGAAAAACATTACCCCAACAAAAGTTTCCAATTTCTTACGCAACTAAAACACTATGCGAAAATTTATACGCACCAACTGCTTCTGAAAATTCGAACACTTCTTATCTTCTAGAGCGGGCGCGTTGCAGTTGGGTAATTCGGTCAATTCTTGTTGTATTACAATACTAAACGTTTCACTTGATTGAATAACGGCAACTAGTAAATGCTTCTTAATATTTGCATCGCTCGAGGGATGATCAGGTACCTGATGAAAAACCAAATTAGTGTCTATTCTATTATTAGCTTTGCTCAACTAACCACTATTCAGTGAACCACAAGTTCGCCTGGTACCCTTTGGCGGGGCTTAGCGGAGCGAAACCATAACCAGCTGCAGCCACCTGAAGAAAACAAGAATTTTAGTGCATTTGATCAGGGAGTGATTAATTCATTGGCAATGATCTTGTACTGTCGCAAACTATAAATTTTTAGGCCTTTCGAGAAAGTCATCATTAGAGAACCCTAGTCGATAGAAATTTGCTTGTTACTGACTGCAAAAAAAGAGCGAAAACTCTATAACTGTCTAACACTTGAATCTAATAAGTTTTCGCTACTGCCGATTTTAGTTTGCAAAAGCTCACTTTCCATAACATGATTAACGTTTAAAAATCCAATAAATAAATAAATGTTTGTTAAAGTCTGCGACAGACGCAGTATTCGCGTAGACGCGAATACTATCCATAATCGCCTAAGGCCCATTTTCATCAGAAACAAGCGAAACGCAGTAAGGCACATTTTCATCAAGCTATCTTAAACCAGTTTAACGTCTGAAACTCAGTTTGACGCGCGAAACGGAGAACCAGAAAACCACAAAACCCAAAGGGGTTAGGGAAAAATGAATGGAAAATGATTAGTGTGCACAGAACACATATGTATGTTTCTCAGAATTTGCAGTATTTCACTAAGAAAGTGGTAGATCAATTTGCCTTTCTAACGTTGGTTTTATTCGTTCGGTTTGTATCGTTTGTGTGTYTTTCTATAATTATGTATTTAATTGTTTTAATAACAACGTGTTTATAAAAAAAAACCCAGCGTGCATTCGATTTCTAATTTTTTTTGCCGCATTTTTCCACCTATGGCTGCCGACGCCCTTCCAGTCTATAGTCTCTAGTCTACCCACTTTCTTCTCATTTTTTTTGCGTAGATTTTTTGAAACCACTATGATGCCAGCACAAGCAATAGCTATCCGTTTCTTGCTTCGCATTTTAAACACTTAGTTTAACTAATCTGCTCTGCCACGATCAGATCTTTCAGTTCACTTGAAATACCACGCGCCAGACCAAGTCTGTCTGAAACGTAAGATTTCACTCCACTAACGGACGGATCTGATACCTCCAATCCCACTGGAAGAATCGGCACTCGTGCTTGGTATGTTAATTAGTGGACAGGAAAAGATTTAATTCGTCCGATCTGGATCTGTCGAATCAAATATCTACGTATCTGAACTGTACGGATAATCTGCCCGTGTATGGGGCGCTAATAAGTTTTCGTTAAATTAGTTCTGAGTTTGCAAACGCTACCTTTTCAGAACCGAATAACTGTTTAAATTCATCACAAGAGAACCCTAATAGATAGAAATTTGCTTGTTACTGCCTGCAAAAAAGGCAAAAACTCTCTATAAACGTCTAGCACTTGAATCCACTAAGAGTTGTCGCTACTGTCGTTCTTAGTTTGCAAACGCTGACTTTACATAACGGAAAAACGTTTGGAAGATAGAAATTGCCCACAAAACCCGTTATTTTATAAAATCGACCAAGCTGAAAAATACCTGAGCATGTGAAGGGAACTGCAGATGGGCAGGCAGTGGATGGCTGGGATGACTAGCCAGCACCGGCCGGGCTGAAGAATGGTGTGCAGGGGGCGGCGGAAGACCTCGCCTGAAAAAACCACAGCCGAATGAAGTCAAGAAGCGCTTGCAACCACCCCCCATCATGCACAACTACTCAACATTTCAGCCATTCATGCAGTCCAGAACTTCCCTACTTAATTAATAAAGGGTACATTTAGCAATCGGGCCGATTTTCAATCATCCTCTACACTATACATTATATAATTGTTTTAATACGCATGCACAATTTTTCAAGTTTAAGAACATACCCGCCAGGAGCCACTTGATGTGTGGCCGGAAGATATGCGGTAGCCTGAGTGGTAGTCACGTAAACGGGCCTTCTATACAGTTCGGTTGTCTGGTGATATAGAGGCTGTCCGGCGGCTAGAGGATGTTGAGGAGACAGCCTGGGGGCGGCCGCTAGGGGCTGAGGCGACAGATGAGCGGTTGTGTGCCTAAATGCGTAGGAAACATCATTGGACATGCAGTTAAATATAACCCCACCTCCTGGTTAGCGTAACTACCATAGATTCACCCAAAATACTATATTTATTTCGCTTGATTTAAACAAATGTAGTCTACATCAAGGAAACGACTGTCATTTCACATCTGGCTATTTAAGACACCGAGCCCCAATTCAGTTTAGAACGGTTTGATACTGACCTGTAAGTTTGGGCTATCGCCTGTGCTGGTCCCCAGCCTTTGCCAGGTGGGGCTAGAAGATGCGCATCCCGTCCACTAGAGTGGGCAGCGGGCGGCTGAATATACTCCGGATGGGGCACTTGGGTGGCATATTCGCGCAAATTAACCACCGGAACTGCGGAATGGCGCCTCGAATGACTGCAATCAAACTCAGTGGTAAAAAAATGCTGATCAAAACCAATTGGTAGCGGAACATACCTGGATGATGGATTGTGAGCAGCCGGAGGCGCCCAACTGACTCGCTTCTCGACATTACCCGACGAAGACGAGTAGTTGGGCATTTCGTGGCCGATATTCGAGCCCGAATAATGGCCGTAAGTCTGCGACGAAGCCGACGGCTGCTCTTTGCAAGCCGAGCTGCAGTGCTGTCCATAGTATTCGTTAACGTCTGCAAAACCGGCAGGTTTCCACCGCGGCTCGTACAAGCAACTATCGTCCTCCCTACCTGGTTCCTGCTTGGTGGCCACATTCAGCATGCACTCGGATTGCGCTTTGGCCAGAAGCCGTTTCTTTTGCGACGTATATGCCAAGCTATTGCTACCTGAGGAACAGGAGGACGGTTCGTTTTTGATCACCTGGTTGTGGTAAGATGGCGCTTGTGGCTGAACGGCATGGTGGTTCGCATGGTGGTTGTGGTGGCTCTAAGAACAACAAAGTTTCTATTTCGCGATCGCCCAATCGTTAAGTGTTGAGATGCCTACCTTTGAGGAAGATTGTTCTTCGTTGTCGCTGTCCTGAAGATTAACGCAGCTGATAACATTCTTTCTGCTGTGATGGTGCTGGCCGGAGGAGTGGTGGCTGTGGCCTTGCTGGGTGCCCACAGTGTTGGTCTGCACCTAAACCAAAACAGTGTTCATTCGCTACCCAGTCGAGACATAAAAAATAGTGTCGGAAAAACCCTAATTGAAAAGTAAACTGTATAATTTCGTTCGTAGATTGTAAAACCTGACTTTGCATAGTCCAATAGCGTTTAAAAGAGAAGCCTAGAGCCGTTTCACACGGGCCACTCTGCAGCACTTTTCAGAAGCGCTGCTGAGAAGCGCACGTTAACATTGTACCAGTCACTCTGCAGCGCTTCTAGGTGACGCTGCTGAAAAGCACACGTTCACCTGAAACAGACTGAAGTGGCTCGTGTAAACGCCAGCATTTGAACCAATGTATCGCTATCAGTGGCGCTTCTCGGCGGTAGTCAACCAGTTAACGCCACAGAAGCGCTGCTAAATCAGTGGTCCGGCCTCGGTCGCCCCCGTGTGATTAGCTCCATATAAATCAATGTACCATCAAAACATCAAAACGCTTCTCAGCAGCGCCACTGAGAAGCGCTGCAGAGTGCCCCGTGTGAAACGACTCTTAATCGATGAAAAAACGCTTGCTATTGCTTCCAAAAGAGGCGAAATCTCTCTATTATCGTCTAACCCTTAAACCCAATAAAAGTTTTCGTTAATGTCGTTCTTACGTTGCAAATGCTGCCCTTGCATAAACTAATTACTTTTCAAATTCATTACAAGAGAACCCTGGTCGATAAAAATGTGCCTGTTATTGCCTGCAAAAGAGGCGAAAACTCTCTATAATTGTCGAAATCCTGAATCCAATAAGATTTTTCGTTAAAGTCGTTCTTAGTTTGCAAACGCTCACTGCACAACCGAATAGCGTCCAAAAATTTATAACAAGAGAACCCTATTTGACAGAAAAATTTTTGCTATTGCCTGCAAAAGCGGCGAAAACTGCCTATAATCGTCGAAATGAATCCGACAAGTTTTCTTCAATGTTGTTCGTAGTTCGCAAACGCTCACTTTGCATAGGGCAAATATGCAAAGCAACAAATAAACAAGTCTTTGAAAACTCACTTCAAGATCCCCCTAAACTCTAGAAAATAGCATGTTAGTGCCTGCAAAGGAGCTAAAAACTTTCTATGATCGTTTGTACTTGAATTGAATAAGAGTTTTTGTTAATGTCGTTTTTAGTCAAAGTAGTAACCTCATTGTAACATTGAAACCGCCGCTGCCTTAAACATAATATCCGGTGCTTGGAAAGCATCTCCTCGCTCCATCCAATCCCTAACTCAAAAAAACTTGGAGATTCACATGAGTGTCCATTCACGTGATATAAGAACCAGAGGTTTAAAAGATCCGGGATGAAAAAAATAGTTTCATTGAACTACAGTCGTCGACTTCAACTTCGGGAAAACCATAATTTTGATCGTGAATTCTACAATATAGCTGCTCGGCAAAATCTAATTAATTCTTAAGATTTTAGCTATGAACTGCTGCCGACTACAATACACATTGAGGTGGTGCACGATCAAAGATTTGTTTGCAATTAAAAGAGCCAGTGAGTGTGTATACAACAGGACAAATTTACCACAAAATTACAAAAAAGACATTGAATTTCAGAAAGATATGGAGATTGCAAGAACGAAAATCAAATTTTGTTTATATTACTAATAACTAAATCCTATATGCCGGGTGTCAATTTAAAAACTTTCCACCATTTCTTGCAGTGAAAAATATGAAAAATCGGATTATTCGAAAACCTCTGAACAAGAAGCAACAAAGTAGTAACTAATGTGACGAGAATTGCACCCCCTTTAAAACGATGTGCCACTTAACTCCCCCTTCCCAATTAAGATTCTGAGGGTGATTCATCTACCATTCCATCCAAAATAAGGGGGTTGAAACAAGGAGACTACAAATATTAATTTAAAGTGTCCCTCTTGCAAATAAAATTGACGGGTTTTTTCGATTTTTCATATTTTCAACTGCAAGAAAGATATTAAGGGTGGGAAGTTTTCAAATTGACAACCGGTATTTGGGTAGGCCCTATTCTACCGATTCATCGGAAACCAAAATATAAAGCAAATTTGGGCAACATTGAAAAATCCTCTGGACGTAATAACGACAATAACTTCGACACTTTGATGAATGTAAAAAAGAAGCAGCATCTGCATTGTGCGTTAGAAACCCATTAGTCGCAAATGAAAAATAATATTTAGTCGCTCACTGTTTTCTTTCCATGTATTCCCTCATCCTCACTATCCGATATAGTGATGACGCTGACTGCGGGCGACGGTGTATCGTTAATCGTGATTGTATGATCATTGACGATGTTTTGCGTCTTGACTCTTGGGCCGTGGTGGTGTCCCTGATGAGTGTTATAGGTCTGAGTATGGTGATCCTGAGAAGTGACCTGATGTGGCCAGCTTCCATTAGAGGCATTACTTCTCCTGCTGCTCGAGCAAGGCTCGGAGGGCGGGGTGCCCTCCTTAACGCGCTTCTTCACCGGAGACAGTTGGGTTTGCTCCTTCTTATCATGTTGGGAACGATGGTGTGGTGGTACCTGGAACCCAACCAACATTAAGATCTCAAAAAACGATTTTTTGTGCAAAAAAACTTACCATCAGATGGTGATGGTTGTGCGGTGGCACGGCTTGTTGGCTGTAATGAGCACGCGAACTTCTCTTACTGCCGCCCCAGGAGCCTGCATGCTCCATAATAGTGGGATTGTAGACTTCGGCAGTAACATCCACATTAAAAACAGGTCTTTGTTCCTGCATCATGGAAATCTCATTAGTTGTGGTTAAGATACTAACGGCCAGTATGGGGCTATCAGTTATCCCCATACTTACCGCAAGAGTGAAAACAGTAAAAGCCTCAATAAAAAAAGTTGTAGATAAGTTCTATATTGTTGAGGCGGATTCATGTTTTCACAGACATCTTTTCGTTGGGCGAAATACCCAACAAACAGTTTGTGAAAAAAAGTTATTTCAAAATGACGCACCTGCAGAATGGCTGAAGAATCCACCAGCAAGGGCCTGCCCCATTCCGCCTCCGATAGAAGGGGTTGTTGAATGGTTGCGTGCTGTGGTGGCAATTGTTGCCATGATGGCACAATAGCCATTTGTTGCCGGGTTGTGGGCCACGATGTTTGAACGGCATTCTTCATGAGAAACCATTCGCATTTAAATGGCAGTTCAACAGGCAGCGGACTACGTACCGTTAAAAGCATTTGGCGACCGGATGGTTCCACAACACTCACCGGAACATATTGTTGTTGACCGGGCTGGCTCAAAATTGGGGGCTGAATTTGCAACTGAGGCTGTTGCACCACAGTTACATGCTTGGCAGGTGAACCGCCCATGCCTTGATAACCTAAACATAGTTATAGCTATAACAGTGAGCCTTAGGTATTTAAAATTCACTGACATATTGTTTATGCAAAATTCGTCAGGCAAATTTGTCTTATCCAAAAGTTAATACAATTGCCGTTGCCGCTCAACTCCCAACTACAATTCATTTATTCGAACAGTGAGGGTTGAGTCAGATCCCTCACTTCCAAATTGTTTGTCCTCCAACGTCACAAGAAATTTTACGCAAAAAAACCCATTTTTCAATAAGAAAACTTCCGATAGCAGAAATGTTAAAGCGAGTGCTGCGCAGCTTGAAAAATTTGAAAACCGATATGGGACGCAACAAAATCCGGGAAATGCCATTACTGCAAATCTATAATGCAGACAAAAGTAGCTTTTTGGAAATGACACTTGCTGATCAAGATGAGGCAACCATTCTAAGTAGAGAAATGAGCAAAACGAGAATTGGAACACCATATTTTAACGGGTTTTTAAGACAGAACCAAGAGATACTAAACCAAACTAAAATTTGTACATCGATTTAGATGTAAAAGTATATAATGTGTATGTATAAAAATTAAGCCATTTTATGTACCCAGTTAATCTTTAAATGAATTAAAAAATTGATTGAATTGAAAATTTTCAATTTAGCTAATAAAATTTGCGGTGCCTTAGTAGAAATCGGAACAAACTAGTTTACGAGTAGGATTAATCCAGGAAAAATGTTCGCCTAAAATTGGCCAAGAATTATGTAAAACATGTTCATCAAACTTTAAAAAATATCCAGAAATGACAATGAAAATATTTGTTGATAATACGAATGCAACAAGCACTTTTTGCCAAAATTTTGGTGTACTGTTTCGTGTATTTATTAACACCTAAGCTCTATTCCGTCCATTCAATAACTTAAAACGTCCTGTGTACTTATTCTTGACGACTAGGGAGTAGCACAGCCGAGAGAAATGGGCATGGTTTGATGACAGTCGGCCGAAACGGTATTCTTGAAAGTGTTGAAAGCCGGAGTAGCTCCCCAGGCATCAAGAATGATCGACTGGTACGACCCAGTAGAAAATGCATCTCCCCGGGTTTTCCTGGGACAAGATATCCTTTGATCTAACAGACCATACCATGTAAGGCTGTTTAGAAGTCCCAAAAATCTTTGTCGAGTTGGTGGAAATGGTTTTATTATTCATTACATATACACACGAGAATCAGCATGTGTTGGATAGCAGTGATATTTTTAAAGTCGTTGGAAAATGGTGCGTCTGAGCGAAGTAAATTAAGAGTCCGTTTTCTTCGTAAAATACTTCAGATTTATACAATTTGTAGTAAAAATTATGTGTTTGCTTACCCGCAGGACATAGAATGCTCGATACCAACTGATGTGGGAACGGATCCGCGCGGGAACTGGTTGCGTATTGACGACCTACAGCGCGTCCATTGTATATATGATACTGTAACCAAATTGAAAGCATTTTAACAAGGCCTATAAAACAGCCTTCGTCATTTACCAAGTTATCATAGGCCGGTCGATCTCTCACCAAGCGCTGCACTTGATTAGTCAATTGATTATTGATAGTAAAAGTAACATTTCCATTTGAGCTTGGCACAAAATTCGCCACCAGGGAAGGAGCCTGTTGAGCTGGTGGGTGGTGCGCAGCTGTAGCTGTCGTGCTGTTGTCGCTGCGGCGACATACTTCCATCATCTGCACGCTCGCCTTCACGTTGTTACAATGAGCGTAGTCTATCAGATGGGCCAACCGCACAAAAGCGTGATTCAGAGCTTCTCCGGGAGTAGTTCGGCGCTCCTGCAACACAAAAGGTACAGTTGCACAGGACCGGGACATTGGAGCAACAATAACGGTTTGCTATTAGAATCAGAATAAATATTGCTACCTGGTCCATAGTTAGCATCCTTTTCAGGAGGTCAATGAATTCCTTGCGGTCCACTTTTTCGGCCAACAATTGGCCGCCTTCTAAATCAGTAGGAACATTCACTTGACCTGAAATCAAAGAGAATCGTGAAAACCACATTCGGATTGCGAATCTTAGCTTGTTGATTACCGATATCATCCAAGCAGTTGAAGATGTATTTGCGGGCTTCTTTCGACTTAATCCCCGTTTCCGCCTCATGTTCTTCAGGAGTTTTAAGTCGCCAAAATGGATATGTACTCTCCATATCTCTGTAAAAAAATTTCGTAGTTTTCGATGCGTTGTTCAACATGTGCTCAGTGGGCAAGCCCTGCGTCTGACTAATGTATCGAATTTGGTCATATTCGGATGAGCCAGGATAGAGCGGCCAGCCTAGGAATAGCTCAGCGACCACGCAACCTAAGGACCACATGTCTATAGCCTCGCAAAATGGCAATCCGAGGATGATTTCCGGTGCCCTGCAGGAAAAACACATTTTAAACACTCAACCATTGGTAAATCGAGCTCAAACTTACCGGTAATAACGGGATTGCAAGTAAGTGTTACATACGGCTTTGCTGACATGGCTAGCCGAGCCAAAGTCAATCACTTTCACCCGGTAGGGCTGGCGCACTGGGTCCACCAGCATAATGTTCTCGGGTTTTAAATCGGCATGGATCAACCCAAGTTGCTGTAATAGAAGGTCCAATATTAATCCGTAATCGGTGTAGTGTTATTTTAAATGTAACTTGATAGGTTTTACATATACAACGTGTTTCATGAGGTAGAGGCATTATTTGCGTTTTGGGAATTTATATACTTAAACGCTTCCTAATTTTTTTGATAAAAAAAACACCACTGTATTTTCTAATTATTACAAATACTTTCCAAACGTATTGTTTTATTACAAATAAAAACTATCTCTCGATTGTTTTTATTTGTATTGTATATTTTTTTGCTTGGGCAAGCCGTTAGGATTTTAAAATAGGATTTGTGGTAGGTGGGCCAACTTGGACACATTTAATTGGAAACCATCGTTTGTATTGGAGTAGTTGCTAAAGTAGATAAAAATATTGAAATGTTTTAAAAGGTGCTCTTTTACTATCAATAAAAAACCAAATTTCAAGTGTTCAAAAAATAAACCTTCGGTCTCCAAACACTTATCCACTCTTTTCATGAGATGAACTCAGTTCGATGGATCCCAATTAAATGTGGCCAATTTCATCCACGTACCACAAATCTTCCTCAGAATCTTAACTTTACATGTTGTATTTAACAATTACATTGTACACAATTTTTGTCTTTACCAGTTTCAGTCGCGTACAGGTGCGCACACCACTGGCAAAATTGAAGAAAATTAATTTATTGCAAAACTTTCGTCTTCCCTAGCTATTTATTCCTGGAAAAATTGGTTGAAAGATCTCCATGCGTTTTGAAGAAATTTGTCATTTCGCAATTTTTTCAATTAAATTTAAACTGACTTTTTTGCGCAAAAATATTGGGTTTTATGCAAATTTGTCTTAACAGTTTCCGAGATTCAGGGTGTCAAAGTGTAAATAAAATTTCTATGTATTTAAATAGATTCTTAACGGGTTTTACGACTATCAAAAAAAATGTGTTTGGGGCTTTTTTTAGATGGACAAATCCAAATTTCCCATTACTTTCTAGCATAAAGTGTCTGGGGGCGCTGCAAGAAGACTGGTGACATTTAAAAACTCAGAACTTTTTGGGTTTTCTAACATCGCTTTTTTGTTGGCAATATCTCTCTGGCAATGGCAATTTGGTTCAACCCGATATCTCCGCCCGTTTTCGAGATATTTCACATTGAATCTTCTAGTACTTTTCTGAACGGACTCAAAATGGATCCTAATATTGTCGTAAATTGACATTTTTAAAGTGGCCCATGCAAAAAAATTGTTTTATTCTCAGTGGTAGACGAGATATTTTATCTTCGGCAATTACATTGAATTTTTTGAAAGTGCACCGAATTATTGAAATTGCCTGATACGCAATATTTTTACGTTAACAAATTACGGTTAAATATTAATACATACCTTCAGTTTTAGCAACGCAGTCAGAACTTGCTGTAAGATTGGCCTGATATACTTCAGAGGTAGAGGACTAAATTTATTCTGCTTTAAAAAATCGTACAGATTCTGCTCCAACATCTCAAAGACCAAACATGTATGAGTTTTATGCTGGAAGCACTCATACGCTCTAACGAAATTGAATTCGTCGGCATTCTCCTGACTCAATCTCGATAGGATACTGACCTCGATTTGGCCCTGAAAAAAACATTGAATTGTTTAAGCATCCGGAGGGATGAGATGTAGGTCAAGGCGCTTTTGCGACCTTCAGTACTTACTTGTCGTGCATAAGACGGATGGTTTTTTAGAATTTTAATCGCCACAATCTCATTAGTGCCTTTCTTCCAGCATTTCACCACCTGGCCGAAGGTGCCTCTGCCCAGAAACTCAAGCACCTCATACTGATTTGTCATAGAGTACAGCACCTCGTGCTGCACGAGCTGATAGTCGCCGTCTGCACCACTTCCGGAACCTGCATATAAAAACAAGAATTTAGAAAAATTGCTCGGCTATAGAATTTCTAGATAGGGGGATGCCAACCTTGCCAAGTGATGGCCATTTTCAGACCCTCAATTAGCTCATTTCCAGTCTACTCTACTCTACTCTACTTATTAGAAGTCTACTGTACACATATTAGAAGCGTTTTCTTAAATAACAAGTGCAGTATATACAGGAGCACTATTTATGGAAGATAAATTCTTCTCGCCCAATACAGTTTAAAGCAAATTATTCCCCAACCAAGTTTTTCCAAGTCTGACATACTTTTGCAAGAAATGCAAGATTTTTGAAATCAATGTTTGCCACAAAGGAATTTTTCGGTTAATTTTAGGTGAAAAAGAGGCACCGCTTGGCGCCAAGTTGCACATTTGACTGCCAAAAAATGCCTGCACGACCTCCTTTTCACGATAGTAAAAATAATGTTCAGTAGTAGAACACACGCAAGTGCTACAAGGCTTTGGAAAACTGAAAGAAGTGCGCTGAAACCCCACAAATTTTCCAGGTTTTCAATTGGAAAATATCAACAGGTTTCCCATTGTGGTTTAATCCGTCATATGTTGTAAAGTTTTGGCCATGGACTGTGTCATGTGCAAAGATAATTTGAGAATTGATTAAAGTAAGAAAACCGCGTTTTTAAGCGCGCTGTGGGGGCTATGAAAGTAAAAAAGAAAATAGCGCAACTTGAACTTTGCCAACAATAATTGCTTTAATGCCAGTGTGTAGCAATGTGCTATTATTGCTTATAAAATTAGGCGTCATAATTGCGCATTTAGAACACTAAACAGGCAAAAAAATAGGAATCTTGACTTTGATTTGACAAATTTCCATAGAGTCGATTTTTGCGGACATGACTTGAAACTGGTGACTTTTTCTGGTCTTTAAGTTCTCGTGAAAAATAATTCCTTCGTAAAGTTTGGCCAGCACCAATAACTTGCATCTTCGCAGGGGTGTGTTAGCTTCGGGTGTCCAAATGACAGGAAAAAAACCTTTACACGACGGAAAACCTCACCAGTTTGAAAAACTTCAGTTGAAATCGGAGGCCAATTCAATTGAAAAAAAAAACACTTTATAATTTTCAATACTACAACATCTACCAACTACTCGACCACTAACATGCTGTTTTTGTGGGAATAATAATTAAGTAATTCGATGATTGATATGAGGAGAAACCGCGCTAGGCTGCCTGATTTCTCGCCTTAAAACCAAACAAATAAATTGACTGTAAAAGAAATAAAATGCAAAATTACCAGCATTTTCAAAAGCGGCCGACATTTAAACGTTGTGGGACATCGGACGTGCAGTCAAGAGCAAAATAAAGCAAAAAACGGCCAAAATCTCAAAGACAACTAAGTGCGCAGGGAGGCCTCAATCGCACAATCTGGAGGATTATTTGTCGAAATATGCGGACATTATCAAGCATATTTAGGGCTCAAATAGCTACCGACACAAACCGTCAAAAACCAAACGTTCTGTTGTTCCGGGGGTTCCCATGGGAACAATGACAATGACAATGTTCCGCGAACAGAGCAGCAACAATCAAATAATCAAACTTTATGTTGTTTACATGGTGTTCCAACCAAAGAGCATAGTAAGTTTACGCTTAAGCCTCCGTCTCATGCATCCGTTTATACGATGATACGAAAGTATTTCTATTGGTCGGAGATTTTAGACGTTCGTACGATCCAGATTTCTAGCTGTTCCATGTATACGCTAATCTTGGATTGTGAACGATAACCAGGCTTGTCGGATTCACAATTTTATCGTTACCATACCGAACTAAGATTTGAATTAAGTTCTACGGCTGAAAAATAAGCAGCAATAAAACCGATTAGCTTTTTTTATGAAAATTTTTGAAGAATTTTTAAGACATATATGTATTTTGAATATTCCGATAGAAAGCAAAATGATACGGCAACATTGTTTAAGATGGAGGTATATATTTAATTATATTAAATATAATTTATCTATTGGTTAGTCATATGTAATAACAAAACCATTCAACGCTCAATTTGAACTCAAGTATTAAATCGTAGATATAACTTAACATAAATAATAATTAAAATGTAGACGAAGCACATGTCGACTTTTTACGATTTTCTGTGGAATTTAAGTGCGTTTTGAAAAAAATTTAATTTAATTTGTTTGTTTTCGTTAATGTTCCGGCAGTCATATATCTAGATAAGGTCTCGGAAAAAAGTTGAATCAATTCAATCAATAGATATCCAAGCAGTAAAATTGAGGAGAAACATAGATATATTTTGAGAGTACCTACAATATCACTGAAAAATCTCCTGATAAACGGTATAACGGCAAGACTGCGGTTATGAGATTCTCGGATACCACGCAGGGATCGGTCCAAATCAGTTAAAAAACACTTATGTTATGAAATATTCGTTTAGGTACTTTAACTTCCCTTGTTGTGCCTAATCCATAATAATGAAAACAGAAGCACTTGATTAATCCTATTTTGTCGTAAGTTTAGTTTTGATTATTAAAACTTCTGGTGGGTATATTTTATGGGTATATGGTATTTTTACAGGGTGATTCAAAATTGGCGTTATTCCTTTTAAGGGGTGATAGAGGCTCCCTTGGGGAGTACGAGGAAAATATTGAAAAAATTTTTTTCGAAAATTTCTGAAAAATATTAACAGTTGAAGATCGAATTTCAACTTTGTTATTAAGCATTATTTTGAAATTGTTCCATGTTTAATTGGTAGCATATTGAAATACAGACATATTGCATACATATTGTATACATACATATTACATTCAGAAAGAAAAATTACGATCTTTGCTTCAAATTATGAACATTTTTGATATCAAAAAGTTCTCTTCTACAATTTTTTGATGAAAAGGCACAGCGACAATAATGTTTTTGTCATGAACAGATAGTTACAGGTGGATAGATACATTGTTAATGAACTACGACATTTACATGTGAACAGAATGTTTGTGTGTCGGACTATTACACGCTACAATGATACTTGTAGCATCAAAAAACGCTATGGGGGTGGACATCCCAAAACAGCAACATCGCAAGAAATGGTACGAAAGGTGAAGGCTAGAATCCAGTGTAATCCGCGACAAAGCGCAGTTAAATTGGCGAAAAGTCTCAATTTGTCTGCTGGAAGCATGGAACGAATATTAAAAAATGAACTAAGATTGGAGCCCTACAAAATACAAAAAGTTCAAGATTTAACACTTACGCAAACAGGTAGTTCGCCCCGCAAGAGCAAAAGTGTTAAAACACTTGCACGTTAATGATGAGATTCAAAATTTGGTCTTTTCTGATGAAATTTTTTTTACGGTTTAGCAATATGTTAACAAGCAAAACGCTCGTATCTGGTTAGAGCACAAATCAAGGGACATTTTAGAGTAGCGAATTGCTCTGCGAACGCAAGGGCTTGTATCAGTGATGGTTTGGGCCGCAGTAACTGCCACAGGACGGTCACAAATCGTTTTTATCGAACAGGTTGTAAAGATAAATCAACAAATCTACCGTGAAAATATTCTAATATTCTAAATGATGCTTTGCATCCTTGGGCAAGTTGACAATTCGGTCGAAACCATTGGACATTTCAACAAGACTCGGCACCCTCACACAAAGCCCATGAAACCCAACGTTTTTCCACAAGAAAAGGTTCCCAGATTCCATAAGACCACATTCGTGCAGCCTGTGAAGCCTTCCCGGACAGACTCGATGCAGTTATACGCACTAAAGGTGGCTACATCAAGCAAAAACTTCTTTTTTTTATTTTGAATGCTTTTACGTTTTAATGTTTAAGTTTTCTAATATACAAAAATTAAAATGGCAAAATTATATCATTTTTAAATGGTAACACTTCGAGTGCCGACCCCTGTAGTAAAACAGCTAAATAAGCGCTAAAATACCCAGAATTATTGTGCCTCAGAACTGGGACGGATCCAAATGCAGACAAAAACAGCAACAGAAATGGACACTAAATTTTGGAATATGGAACGTGCAAGAAACAAGAAATAAGCAACGGGAAATTGTCCTAGAATGTATCCAGCGTAAATTAGACATGGCAATCCTCCCTGAAACGAAAAAGAAAAGACAAGGAAATGAAACGGTAAAAGATGTTATTCTTTTTTACAGCGCGGTAGACAAAAGTGAAAAAGCAAAGGCAGGAATCTCAATAATGATACACAAGAGACTGCAAAAATACATTTTATAAAGCATTATAAAATTGACAATTCAAATGAGAGGAAGAACTATGACGATCATAGGAGTCTATGCCCCAAATGACGATGCCACAGCTCAAACAAAAGATGCCTTCGAAGAATAACTAAGAAACATCATCGACCAGATAGCGAATCATCATGAAACCATAATAGCAGGAGACCTAAACGGAAAAGTAAGAAAGCAAAACAATAGTTGGGACACACAAAACGAATAAACGAAAAATATTGGAATGGACACCGCCGAAAAAAAAGATAGTAAGACCAAGAAGCTGGAGAACTGACGTGGATGATGCAATGAAATCAAGGAACTTGAATGAGAGGCTGAGTCACGAAAGAAAAGTGTGAAGGCTGGGGACGGAGAGGCGACGACAGCCGTAGAAATCCGTATATATAATATTTAGTTTGCAAACTTTTTGTCTTTGAAACTACAGTGCGCTCGTAATAATTGTCCAAAATGGCCGTATGTTTAAGCTCAAAAATCTCACCATTTTTAATAGCACACCTCTTTATTTTGCCAGTGTATTATATTCAGGACAAAAAACCTTTCATTTTCGCTAATTAGTGTTGATAAACCTCGGCTACAATATGACGATGAAAATTTCGATACCATCGTTGGAACACCCTGTACATGTTGCTTCATGTACAAGGTGACTGAAAAGTAGTCTGACAAAGTTTAGAAGGTGAATGTTAACATTATTCTGAGATGGGAAGTTCTAATACATGAAACTCATTTATGGTTCAGATAATTAACAGATTTCTATTTTCGCAATTTTTCTTAGGCGGTGTTTTTAAAAAAAAAGGGGGTTTTTAGCCAATTTTCACTCATTGAAATTAGCTACTTTCCCTAAAATAACAGAGAACGCCATGATGTTCCGGCTGTTTGCAAAACCGTTGCTTCCGGTTGAATTTTTCTCAGACAAATGTAATTTTTCAGTTTTTGTTCCTTTTCAACAGTATTTTTTAATTTTTCATCAATTTTTTAACGGGATAGTTCGTTAGAATGCCCATACAAAACAGCATGGGGGATAAGCTAAGCGAGTTATGCTGATTAGTTAGCTACGGGATGCTTAAGCTATAGGTTAATATTAATCGTACATTTTCGCTTACCTTGCGGCTGCCCGGGGTTTGCGGCAGCTGCGGGTGGAGCTGCTGCTCCCCCTTGCTGCGACCCCTGAGCCGCTGATAGAGCTGCGGCCGAAATCGTGGTCGCAATAAGTTGGGGCGCCGTATTGATGGCGCCTGCCGACAAACGTTCCGAAACGTTCGAAGAAGGGGAGACAGTTTCCGCCCCCGATGCTGCATTACCTTCCAAACACCACCTCGCGCGCTGTAAAAAAATCATTTTAGTCCTCCTGACTGGGACAAACTGACAAAATCACCATCAATCAATCAGTGAATGATTGCTTATAAGAGGACATACAAATACAGCGCTGTGTTTGACAGAGGTGCATTCTGTCGCCTCTCTTCTTCAATATGTTTCTTTATTTCAAGTTTTTTCCATAAGACGAAGGGCGAATGGTCAAGAAATTAACAATTTTAGATATGCCGAGGGTACAATAATCGTGGCAGACAATATGGATGATCTACAAACTTTCATGCAAAGAATCGACAGATCGTGTAAAAAATATGGCATCAGAATGAATTTCAAACAAAACAAAACAACATTCATGATCACCAAAAAATGAACATTACCATAAAGATGATAATTGATGGTAGACCAATAGAAAGAGTTCAACACTACAAATATTTGCGCACAATAATAAATGAAACTGCTGAACAATTTCAGGAAATAAAATCTAGAATTGAAATAGAGAAAAACAGCTTCTTAAGCCTCTTTCATGAGACGTAAGAAATCCTTATAGCGCAGACCAAAACTTGCGGTGCTATCGACGCATTTGCGAATCTCCTAGACTAAGAAAATTGCAAATGTTGAGGAATCCATCGTATGAACAAAGAAAAATAAATATATAAAACACTTGAATATTTGGCACTTGTGAGAGAACCGAAAAATCAGGAGTTGCAGAATATTACGAAAGGAAAAATTCAGGGAAAACTAAGTCAGGGGAGGAGAAAAGAACATCCTGGCTGAAAAACCTCAGAGAATGGTTTGAAACGTCATAGAGCGAATACTTTTTTTGGGAGACCGAAAAATACTCTTACCTTTCTTGGGTAGCGCTGATCAATTGTGGAAAATAGTTCAATTTCAGTGGCAGTGTCTGGAACAGACTCGTCGATGGTAATTATTCCTTCCTTGTGCACCTTCAAGTTTAAAGGTTCACTCTGCAGTGAACGGATGTCTTCTGAGTTGGTAATAACGTCGGGGGTTATCACTGATGGATCGCTCCCAGAAATTTGAATATTTGTGTATAAGGCCTGACAATCTTCACTCTCCATCCAACGCTGCAAATAAAAAACTGGGATGATCATGTACTTTATGTCTATCGTATTTTGGCGTTCTTTTCAATTTTCCCTTAATGTACACTTAAAATAAAGCACATTCGGCGAAAAAAATTCGGATGGTCCATAAACTTACAAACATTTGAAAATCATGTGTCAGTGCTGTATACTGTTAAATCTTGTTTGAAAAACTCACAATAAGGAGCCAATTCAACGACCATAAGAGCGCTTTGACACGAGGATACTTTTACCCGGCATTACTCTATGCGCCGCATAGAGTTCGCCACACGACTTTCTCTGAGGTTAGGCGTCGCTATTCGAGCAAGGCCAGGCGGTTAAAAACCAAAAATGACATTTCCATTGCGAACGAAATTATAACCTCAGAGAAACACGGATTGTTGTGGATTCTAGCACGTTTTTAGTTCAGTGGCTGTTGCTGAAATTCATGCTAATTTCATCGTTAGTGATTTATACAATTAGCGTTGATTCGCGTGACGTCAGGTGATACTCACGCAGTGTTGGGCCTGTCGTGCTATTTTGCTGCCTAATAAATGTGATTAAATATAACTTATTTAGTCTTGGTCACATTCCATTATTTTTTTATAAATCTTCGTTACAATGACAAATTCTTCGCAACGGGTTTTAAGCTTGAAAATTAAAAGTAACAAAAATTAAATTATTTTGCAGACTAAGAGCAGTAAGAGTAAAGGAAGCATAGTTGTCAGATGTGCAATAAAGTATAGTGCTAGCTCTTTAAAATGAACCTTTGCAGAAAATGTTTGGTTTTTATTATTTACCACGGAATATATGGTTGGTAGTACCTACTGCTAATATTGAAATGTTAATACAAATTAAATGAAACAACACGATGTATGTAATACATACATGTATACAGGGTGATTCACTTAGAGGGTACGAGAAAAATATTGAAATTTGTTTTCGAAAATTTCAACAGATACCTATTAACAGTCGGAGATCGAAGTTCAACTTTGTTATTAAGCATTATTTTGAAAAGGTCCCACGTTTGATTGGTAAAAACTAGATCAGAAGGATGGCAACAATGTTTTTCAAGGTAATCTGCCTAATTAACATTACGTAAATACCTGTTCCTTCGTAATTATTAAAAACTGCGGCAATCTGGGATAAACATGAACCAAAGAAAATAAAAGAAAGAATAAGATGCGTTGAGGTTAGGATAACGGTGTCACCTTGTGGTCAGTGCTGCGACAAAACAGCCCCCCGCGTGCTGCCATCTTTTTGGGGCAAATGAGTGATACATACCTAAATGGGTCACAACTGTCATCCAAAACCACCGGTTAAAGGTTATGCAGGAGCGGATCCAGCTTTTGAGTCAGGGGGGTGTGTTGAGTAGTAGAAATTCAGACTTTGTTGTGTATGAAATTAGAAAAATAGGCGTTAGTCACTGTAAACCCAACACAAGGGGGGGGTTATGACCCCCATGACCCTCCCCCCCTGGATCCGCCCTTGAGGTTATGTATCATTGATTGTGGCGAACTATATCGCCAGCTATATCTCACCCACTAACATCTGCGGCGTTTCGATTCAAATAGAACTTCCAATCTATGAAGTCTATCCGGTGTCTAAGGCAGGGCCTACCTAAGCCTTACTGACGAGTCCAATAGGTAGGCCCGAGACGAAACGCATGGTGCTTCAACGGGCGCCATATGATCAATATTATTGACCAAATAAACAATTCTGTTATTAAAACACAAGAAGTGTTCCCAAGAGCAAGAAGTCCTGTCCGTTTCACTCCAAACATCTTTGTGTCCCAATCACTTTTCGTATACTTTTGCCAGCAGTCTGGGCTCATATTTTGCAAAGCTTCTGTATTCGGTTAATTAACTGCTGCTCAATTTGAACCAGTGATCGGTAGATCAGATATTTAATGTGTTCTAGTGTCCTGAGTATATTACATACATGGTAGGAATGTAGGCCCTTCCTTGGGGGAGTTATCGGGACAATTAAGTATCTGGTGTTTGAGAAAGTGCAGTTGTTGTGCAATGCTTCAAGTACTCCTGGAAGGCTCAGCTGCAATAATATCCAATATCTGATCCTCTAGGCCTGGAAACCGAGCTCCTTTAGATTGTCCACTATCTGCGTCCATTTCGGGCCACTCGTCTAGTGTGTAGCACTTTGCTGGTGTAAGTTCTTACAGCTTCTGCTAAGTTACTGTGGAATTTTCCCATAACTAATCGCATATTCGCAAATTCGCTGTTGGTGAAAGGACCTTCAAAATAAGCCAGTTTGACAAATGCTTGTTATTATTGACAAAGGCTGTCTTCCTGTAACTATCTGTTAATGACAAAAAACATCTTTGCCGCTTTGACTTTTCATCAAAAAATTGTAGAAGAGTACCTTTTTAATATCAAAAATTTTCGTAATTTGACAAAAACATGGTAATTTTCCTCAAAAAATCAAGAGTGGGATCTTTTCAAAATAATACTTAATAACAAAGTTGAAATTCGATCTTCAACTGTTAATATCTTCTTAAAATTTTAGAAAAAACAATTTTCAATATTTTTCTCGCACTCTCTAAGTGGGCCCCATAAAAGGAATGACGCCAATTTTGAATCACCCTGTACGTTTCCATTTTTGAATAATTGCGCTTTAAAAATCAATGATAATTTGTTTGCCTACATGCATTTTAAATGAGCTGTTTATTTTACCAGTGAGTACCAGTTGCGCACAGACATCGAGTTTTGAACCGATGAATATCCGACCTTGTATTCATTAGCTTCATTAGCGGTAGCGATCATAGATTAACTAAGTAGCGATTCAGGATCGGTTCAGAACCGAAAACAAACCGAATTAGGGCGCAGGCTCGGCTCAGGACCTGTTCAGAATATATCCTTGATTCCTTCGTTCGGCGAACGCTTTTTGAACCACCTTTTAGTACTACCAACAGGATTTCCCAGTAATTTCCCTCAACTGAAATGCAATGGCGTGAAAGTGGAAAAACGGAATTGCTTTGTTTTTGATGATTTTATTTATCTGCGAAAAGTGACACTTTACGATTATTTTGAACAAAAATGAATTATTGAGGTCTTTTTATCGCATTTCATTAATTACTTTTTAAGATGCCACTGTATAAACGCATAATCTTACATCTGCTGTATTTGACTTGCATTTTTTGCCGATTTTCCGCTGGTGGTACAATCGGTACCACCGACGATCATTTGTCTGGATCCTGTTTCTTAATTCAAATTTATTGCTTTGTTTCCATTCACCCTGAGGCGAAAAATTGCAAACATATGTAGGCAATTCTAAGTTTATTTTTACATTGGCGTTCTGATCAAAATTAGTTAATTAAATGCGATAATTAACATAACAAACTTTAGGCTCAAGTTTAGTTTTTTTAAAAGACAACAGTGTTTCAACTTTGTCAGGCCGCAGGTGAGATGTTGTGAGAAGTTCGAAAAACAGATTTGATGTTTTTCCTTGCGATCTATGGCAAAAAGTGGCAGGTTTTTATTACAACAAGAAGATAGAAATTCTCATTACAGAAACTTCTTTGAATTAATTGGAGTTTTTGATTAATGCAAATAAAATTATTAAGTTTGTTTATATTTATATTGCATTTAATTAACTGATTTTGATCAGAACGCCATTGCGCATAGAGGCATTGTGTGTTCACGGTAAAAAAAATTGCTCGTTCTGAACCGACAGTTCTGTGTTTGCGGTACAGAAAGAACTGGTTCAGAACCCGTTCGTTACCGGTTCTAGCAGTTCTAGGATTAAAGCAAGGACCAGTGGTTCTGACAAGCGCAGAACAAACAAAACATCTGGTTCGCATCGGCGTCGGGACCAGCTCCCGGCATCTTTATTTTTTTGATTTGTTAACTAATTGAGTTAACAACATTTGTATTCATGATTATTGTTATCATAACTGATAATACACAATTACTATTGGTGTTTGCAGGAAAGACAGTTTCCTTGAAAAATCAGATACATGAATTAAAGATGAACAATAAACCTACACTGACCCAAATTTAACGCATCTTTAAACTTAAACTTACAGCACTCACACGAAAGTATGCTATTCCATTTACATATAACTCGTCGAACTCCGGATATAACGAACCCGTTTCAGTTCATTTTTCAAGTTCGCTATATCCGGACTCAACTGTTTATAAAAATAAATATAAAATATATATACAGGGTGAGTTTTTTAAAGTGTTACAAGGGCATACCTCAGAAACGTTTGAAATATATTTATAAAATTTTGGGAAAATAAGATATATGTAGGGGGACGTATTTTAACATATGTTTCATCATTCTACTCAAGCACCCTTATAAGAGGTAGAGGCAACTTTGAAATTTTAAATGGAATGATATGTTTTTGATTGTGAAATTTGAATCAACTTAAGGAACTATGTATGTGTAGAAGTTTTTGTTATTTGATCACTTAGTTCCAGAATTATGACGTGCAACATAAATTAAAAAAAAAAATTATTAAATTATGACTCGACTAATAGTAATCAAATATGTTTCAGGAGATGTTCAAAATGCCTGCCTTCAACTTCCAAGCAATTTACTACTCTATTTTCTAAAGAATTTTGAAATTTTTGACAATTTGAAAAACCACCGACTTAAACATGTTTAATTGTATTGAAATTCAATAAAACTTAAATTATCGATAATTGTGTAACCAGAGGAGTAAACCATGCAAAAATTTGTACACACACGTAGTCTTTCATGTAGAATCAAATTTCAGAATTAAAAATATATCATTCCATTTAAAATTTCAAAGCTGCCTTTACCTCTCAGAGGGCGCTTGAGCAGAATAATAAAAAAATATGTTAAAACATGCCCCCCTACCTATCTACTATTTTCCAAAATTTGTATGAATATATTGCAATCAGTTTCTGAGATAGCCTTGTAACACTTTAAAAAACTCACCTTGTATGAATAAATATAAAATATATATAAATCTGTATAGACACAATATAGAGATTTTATCAGAGTTTGTAAATGTTTTCTAGCACGATTCTATGGACCATTTGCATTTTTTTGCTCAATGTGCTTTATTTTAAGTGTACTTTAAGTACTTTTTTTACTGACAAGGGTGACTTTAAACCTTAGAAAGCTTTGCCTTGTGTTTAATAATGCCTTTGTAATCAATAATAAAATAAATAAAAATACCTTTGTAGGCAGTGAATTTTGATGATTTCCTGTTTGACACATCTAGTCAACAAATCAAATGAAACAAAAATCAAGGCAATAGTTTAGTTCTTATTGAATTTGCACTTCATGAAGGGTTTAGGTGGGCACAATCGTCTAATGGCATTGTGGTTAGGACCAAACATAAATTTTTCCCTGATAAATCGAAACTTGCTTGTCAGAGGACTCTAGAGAACCTCAGGGCCACTTCTTCAAACATGTTTGGCTAAGAAACAGATGGAAAGTACAGGCACAAATAAACAAAATGTCTCCTATTATCGCCCATATTGTTTAAAAAATTAGCTCGCTTTTTAGGTGATTTGTCCAAACCATGTTGATTCCTAGAGGGTTGAAAACAATCGCTTACCTTTCTATCATTAAGCCTTCCGTAAAGAAGTTCAGTATCATGCTGAAGAATGTGAAAATACTATTATTGCTTAAAGTCCAGCCATCTTTGCATGTCACTACGTAATCCTTGCACATGCAACCCCGTTTAGCCAGCTGTTTCACACTCACTGTTTGCTTAGCTCCTTTTTGGAAAAACACATCGCGGAACCACCTACGAACAATGAACGACAATCCAGGATTATAAGCTGAATTTCTAGAGCATTTTATCGGGTTTTTGTCGCGTCCCGTATTACACGTTAATTAGCTACGTCGCCGCTCGATTCTCGTTAAATTGACAGATGTCTTTCTTGCCGTGTTTATTGACAGCAGCGTTGCCAGGTCCGAAAATCGAATTTCGGTAGATAAGCTCGACATGTTTCGGTAGATATCGTAAAAAATCGGTAGACTCATTTTTTTTTCATTATTAAGGGCTCCATAAAATCGCTCGTTTTTCAAAACTTTATTTTTTATGAACTTACAGCAATACTAAAATAAACATAAGAGTCAATAAGTATATTTATAATATTTCTTTAAACATTACAACACATTGTTAACAAAAATAAATTGTGTATATTTTCCTGACTGTATTTCAACTTAATTCAAAAGAAATTCCTGGGTTCCAGTCAATTTTATTGTTTAAATTTATCATTTAAAATGTTAGAAAAGTGATTGGAACCCAGGAATTTCTTTAAAAAAAATAATAACAAGCTCACAAAAAATAAATAAAATCTTCATCGTACATATTTCTAATAAAATCATTAATACTAATTTCGCAAACTAAACACTTTTATTTCTTTCAAATAATAATATGTCCTCAGTTTTCCAAATTATCCTTATATAAGATTTTATCATTGAGAGATGCAAGCTTATCTTCAATTTCAAAACTATGACTACCAATATATCTCTTGGTGTAGTAAAGATGAAATTGTACTAGTTTTTAACTTATTTCTCAACTTAGTTGATATTAGATTAACCTGTGAAAATATCCGTTCTACATTGGCTGATATGAATGAGGCAGAATAAGCAAGTTACAAATTAAATTCGTTAAAATTGGCAACATGAATGTATCATCTCCATATTTCAATATTTCCAGAAAATTTTTGAATTTCTTCGACATTTTGCAATAGACGCCATTCTGTGTCCAGACCTTGTAATTCACTATTATTTATTAAATTTGATAATATCATCGCAACATCAGAAATAGATTGTAGGAAACCTGATTTCACTACTGCCGGATCCACAAAACATCATTTTTCTATAGGAATATTTTTTAGTGGGTACCGCTTTGCTATTTGTGAGCATTCTTCGATATGAAAATGTAAACACGTTAACTTAAGAAAATGTCAGTTGCTTTTCTGATATTACGGATTCTAAAATTGTTTTCTGTACATTAACACCTAAATAAATGTCAGAAACGGGTAAGAAATTATTAGGATTTTTAGTCAATGTTGGAAATTGGAACATAAAGTTGGTAATTCCTTTTTAAAAAACAGTGAAATAGATTTCTGGGTATGTTTCTCATATGAAATGTGTTATATTATTTTATTTGTAATTTTTTAAGTTTTATTTGTTACTTTTCGGTACAAATCTGTATGGTATCGGTAGATGGGTAAATTCCTTGACGAATCGGTAGGTCTACTGAAAAATCGGTAGACCTGGCATCTCTGATTCACAGAGACGTTTCTCTGAAAATTTGTAGATTTCTAAATCTCTACTAAATCAAAACAAGTCAACCGTCGTAGATGCGGTTTTCAAAAATTACGCTGCAACTACAACAAAACGTTTTTAAATTAATTAAACAATTTCTTGGACGTATTCGCAAATTTAGTTACTGATGGAGCGCAATGGGGGCGTTGTGAAACGTCAAATTACTCGTTGCCGATTGCCGAGTGACAGTTGAGATTTGTCAGACTTGTTTATCTATTGGACTTGGTAAACAAGCGGAAATCCAGACCAGCCTTGTTCTATGCATAGATAAAGACAAGTTCAATGATCCAGACAGCACCAGACGTCTCTAATGCCCGTATGCACCGACAGACTTTAATCGCGATTAAGCCTTAAACCGGTTTAAAAATCGTAAACGGTATGCACCGTCGACTGTTTTGACCTT